GTAGTGCCCTGTTGAGAACTAGCTTAAATGTGTCCTAAATACTTATGTACAAGGTACAGAAAATAAAAACAAATTTCACGATTTACCATGGCAACAGACCCTGACGAAATTTGTACTAGTATATTTTGTAAAATTCTTGATTTTTCCTGTTTTACGTCAAATTTTAAGTATATTTTAGAATGGCAAAGTATGTGCGCATACAAGAAACATCTTTATATTTGGTGAGATTATGTCAATAGTTATAATAAAGCTTCTCTTAAATTGTGTTGTTGTTTCTTGGCTGCGCACAATGTTTCCATAATGTAAATAACGATGGAGAACTGCATAAACTCATCGTTTCTATGAAAACAGTACATATTATGACGTAGCTGTGACGTCATCAGATAAAAAAAATCTTATGTTTTTCATCTATATTTCTTGACTCTATGCATTTCCAACATTATGTGCCAACTTGAAATAGTTGCCAAACATTTAATTTTTCTTGAGCCAAAACCGGATCTTAATGCCCCTATTCATGACTTCCTATGTGGTGCCACCCCTCGTACATTGACATTTTGTTAGAAAAGTGAAGGATAATTAATATCTATTTGTGGGTGAGGGATGGCAACACTGTTTCAAAAAATTGTCATATATTTTGCCAAATTATGCAAAAAAATCAGGTTATATAAAAAAATACCTTCATTAATGACTCGGTAAAAATCTTTTTTAAATAAAACTGAACATTTTAACTTCTGTTTTGAACACATTTTGTATACATTATCACATTAAAAGAGATTTCAGCTTTTTAGGGCCAAATTTATGAGGTAGTGAACCAACTCTTATGTTGCATACATAGCGCCTTTCATGATTTTCCTTCAATAGGAACGATCAGACCCAAACTTTCCAAAGCCAACAAAACACACGAATACGTGAGGAGCTATATGATAAAAAAAACTCCTTAGAAGAATAGCCAAATTAATCTTATGTCAACTTTGCCTGAGGGAGTAAACTCCTTAGAAGAATAGCCAAATTAATCTTATGTCAACTTTGACTGAGGGAGTTGAAACCTTAGAAGAATAGCCAAATTAATCTTAGGTCAACTTTGCCTGAGGGAGTAAACTCCTTAGAAGAATAGCCAAATTAATCTTATGTCAACTTTGCTTGAGGGAGTAAACGCCTTAGAAGAATAGCCAAATTAATCTTAGGTCAACTTTGCTTGAGGGAGTAAACTCGTTAGAAGAATAGCCAAATTAATCTAAGGTCAACTTTGCTTGAGGGAATAAACTCCTTAGGAGAATAGCCAAATTAGTCTTAGGTCAACTTTGCCTGAGGGAGTAAACTCCTTAGAAGAAAAGCCAAATTAATCTTAGGTCAACTTTGCCTGAGGGAGTAAACTCCTTAGAAGAATAGCCAAATTAATCTTAGGTCAACTTTGCCTGAGGGAGTAAACTCCTTAGAAGAATAGCCAAATTAGTCTTAGGTCAACTTTGCCTGAGGGAGTAAACTCCTTAGAAGAATAGCCAAATTAATCTTAAGTCAACTTTGCCTGAGGGAGTAAACTCCTCAGAAGAATAGCCAAATTAATTTTATGTCAACTTTGCCTGAGGGAGTAAACTCCTTAGAAGAATAGCCAAATTAATCTTATGTCAACTTTATCTGAGGGAGTAAACTCCTTAGAAGAATAGCCAAATTAATCTTAAGTCAACTTTGACTGAGGGAGTTGAAACCTTAGTTAGTAAATTATTTTTTACTTTCAACGGAGAACTCAAGAAAAGCATGTTAAATATTTTGTCAGTTCCGAGATTCTTACTACTATGCTAATGAAACCCTTGGAGACTAAAAGTCCGTTTCTCAGTAATAACATACCCTCTTCCCTATCATGTGGCGTTTACATATCCAAATTTATATGATCATGCATATTCACACTTTGCAGACTATAAACAGGGGTTTGCTCATTGCGCAAACACTGCTCCAACAGTTTTTTTTTGAAAGAAAAGCATGTTATAATAAATGCCAGTTTCAAGTTCTTACTACTATGCTAATGATACCTTTGGGGACTACCAGTCCATTTCTCAGTAATAACATATCCTCTTCCCTATCGTATGGCGTTTTGCATATCCCAATTATTACGATGTTACGAACGTGCATGTTGAACAGTTCACAATATACAGACTTTAAACTCCTTACCTAAAAACTGCTCAAATAGATTTATGAGGTAGAAAGACTAAAATCCGACACTACATAAGTTTTACAGTAACCATCACTAATTGGTTGACCAATACGATGGGTTTGTGTCTAAAATCACTAGCGACATGATTTCACGGTCTTAGATCTTTATATACAAGCATAGTCGTTTGATCTGTTATCCTTTTCCTGATTGTGACATTTTGACTGAGTCAGGATTTGTATGACGGGTGATGCATGCATAGCAGGAGACAGGGTAAGGCCCTGTGGACCCGGTCTCGCTACCTTTGGAGTTTATGTGATTCCCTCTCCTTTTGTTTGTTACCTTGATTTGCATCTTTCTTCTTAATCGATTTATATATGAAAATGAGAATCGGGTAACTACTGTTGCCAAAAAATTCAACCAGCAACGGTATCAACCCAGTGCTAGTAGATTTAATATCATTTTATAAATTAATTTATTGATTTCTTACAAGTGGTATTTGGATTTACCTGCATCAGAAACACTTAAGCCCAAAAAAGTTTGAGGCCAAAAATGTTTAAATACCTGAATAGCAATATGATAAAAAAGGACATAAAAAGAATAGCCAAATTAATCTTAGGTCTATTTCTCCTGACGGAATTGGAACCAAGTTTCTAAAAAAAATCTTACTTTAACAATGGAGAATTAAGAAAATGTTGTAGATCATGTCAGTATTGACTACACCCAGGGAATTACAGTCTATACCAGCAGCGGTACCGACCCAGTGTTGAAAAAGAAAATAGCACATAATACATTTATTGCGTCTGAAGGGTTTTTATGAATTTACCTTCATCGGGAACGACCAAAGACTGAACTCGACACTACATAAAATTTACGGTCACAATCACTATTTGGTTGACCGATACTATGGCTTGTGTCTTATCGATGTGTTTCGCGATGTTTATAAATTTATTGCGTCTGAATGGCTTTTATCGATTCACCTTAGTCAGGGACGCTCAAATTAAAAACTTTGAAAGCCAAGGATGTAAAAATACCAGAATACATGAGGACTTAAAAGAATAGCATAATTATTCTCAAGTCAATTTTGTTGATGCCTTCGGGAAATAGCAATCTAACCGTATGTTGAGTTTGCATAGTCGTGCTTTTGACTTCAAATTTATTAGAGTTATTTTCTTGTTAATTTTGAAGCAATTTCTGAAAACTTTCGTTTTTATAGAGAGTTATTTTATTGTAGATTTTCCCATCCGAAAAAAAATGTACTTTACTTTTTAATTTAAAATACAGAATAGTGTTATTAAAAGTCGAAAAGTCAAACGCATATATATATATATTATTTGTAAGGTTGGATGAATTTATTGTATATACGCTATTTAATGTTTATTTTCATAGTTCAAATCTGATCCATGCCATCCCTGCTAATGGACAATCAGTCCCCACAGTGTTATCCGTATACTTGTTATACATTTAAAGTTTTCCAGCTCACAAAATATGGAATTGCACTAAAACGAAGGCTGCAAAACCCACCTGGTAACGTTTAGCGTTTTGTTAACCTTTACGTTTTTTATATTCTCAATTATTTTATACACAATTTTAGTCTCGAGCTTACTTGTTTGTTTGATGTTTTATGCCATTTTCTACGAACTTGGCTATATGGTAATGGACAGATTTTATTGATGGATGACACATAGTACCCGAAGAGAACCATCAACATTTGGCAGGAAAACTGGCAATCTTTGTCAATTAAGATCTGATTAGAACACACCTCGCCACAAGCAGGCTTCGAACTCTCAACCTCAGAATTGACAGGATAGCGATCACTGCTAATGAACTACTTAGATCACTCAGCCACTGAGACCCCTCGATCTTACTAGAGTAAGTCAAACATGTGTCATGTGTACGAACTATGGTGCGAAACGTAACAATTTTTCTCTTTGATAACTAAGAGGGCGTTGATTTGCAAGCAAGGAGGGCGAGTGGTGTCCTTCCTGTATTAGTGTTTTAAACTGGTGGTCTTATTCAACGCATTTTGCAGACACACTTTTTATATGGCTCTCTTGTTCTAAATGTTCCTAATACTTTTAGTTAAAATTTCCATCTTATATCCGACATGATCTTATAACAAAAACAATAAACCATCAGTCTGAGTACAGTATTACAAGTGCTTTATTAGGATCTTAAAATATTTTTATTTTAATGGTTTTAAATAATCTGTGGAAATTTTAGTTGAACGAATATGAAATTATAACTTTGATATATATTTTGATTAACTTTTCTGAGGTAGATAAAAAAAATGCGTAATCTAACAAATGAAATAAGCAGCAATAAAATTACTTATACGGTACCAATTTAATGCACCAGATGCGCATTTCGACACCAAATTTCTCTTCAGTGATGGTCCAGGCCAAATTATTTGGAAAAACAAAAAAATTTACAAGAGCTGATCTAACCAAAAATGACCCTTGATCTTAGGTCTTAGAAGAAATAGTTAATTAATTTTTCATAGAACAAACTTAATAATTCATTCATCGATACAACAATGGCAATAATAACACACCATAGAGAGAAGAAGGAAGTATCATTTTCAGTAGCAAATATAGCTGTGGAATAATTTTTCATGAAAATGTTCACCTTTTCCCTCCTGATATATATTCAATTATTATTAAACCTGAAAAAGTTTTCAGTTTTTTCTGAGCCATGGAAAAAATTACTCCTTTGACTCCTATGCACTTGATTGTTTAATAAGTTTGTTGAAATGTGCTAAATTTGGATATGTGACATAATACCTTCTATTCAAGGGATTACTAGGTAGTGTCAATTTCAACAAGGTGATAATTCTTGTAAAATATTATGGTTGAATAACGGTCAATGTCGATATTTAAAATATCTTTAAATCATACATTGCTTGAAATTGCGTTTTAGTTTAACCAGGAAGCAATATCAGTCTTTTTATAAATGTTGCAATGGAATCTACAGAAGAAACGATTGAGTGGTCAGAAAAATCCGCACCCCTCAAAGAAATAATCAGAGACGAGAAACTGCCGATTCTCGTTAAAGTGGCAGAAGGGTTCTATAACAATGACAACGAATCATTTTCTCCAGGTGATCTGATAAGACTGGATGGTCTTAAGTGCATTCAAAAGGTGAGAGCTGATGTTGTATCTGCAAAAAATAAAAAAATGGAAGAGATATTTATTCCGCTTGAATACAAAGGAAAAGTTAAAATTACAGGAGTAACATTGATGGAGAAAACTTTCCATTCTGTTGAAGAACTGATAAAAGTTTTTCCCAGGTATGTTACTGTGATAGAGGCTTTCACATCGCGAACTACAGAACGTTTTTCAGCAAGAAACGTTGAAAAAGGGGACAGTCTTGAACTTGATAGATTTCTGGAAGGAATCGGTTTAGTTTGTACGGATGTGAAAAGTGGACAACTATTAATCATTTCAACATCAGGGCAATACCACCTTATTTCCAGACCCGACAATAATCAGTACACTATAAAAGAGGTAATTGATCGCTTTCCTTTACCTCAAAATGTAACATTTGTCGATGAAGAAGTACAGAAACTTTTTACAACAAATCTTGATGAAGCTCTACCCAATATATGTACATTTACTGGTAGTTTGAAACTTTTGGGATTCACCACCGAAGAAGTTGTTGTAGGCCATAGTAAGCCACAGACTCTACAGAAGGATCAGGGAAAGTTTGTACATAGAAATGTTATCATGTTGCCTACAAACGGGGAAATCGTGAAAGAACTGGAAGTATATCTTGCCATCAAACAAGGCGACAAAGATTATGAAATTTTACTGTCAACAAATGTTTCACAAAGCCAAGATATGTCAGCTGTTGATAGTATGCTGTATGTTGATATGGTCAAAAAGCCCAGACGCATGATAAATTTGAAGATCCGCGAAGAAGTACCGTATTCTGTACCACCTCCTAAAGTTCCTCCTAGAAGAAAAAGTTCAGGTATAAGTTATTGAATTAAATAAGTTGAGAAAAAATAAAATAAAAATGAATAGGTTGTGGCAGTTCAAACGTATATGAGTGCCATCTCATCCTTAAACTATCGATTGAAAATAAAATTATAGGCTCCATGGAACCTGAATCGTCGTTCACTGGGTAGAAATATACAACAAGCATTGACAGTCAATAAACCCATAAGAATTAAACTATAGATCTCCATTACTTTATTTATACTGTAGATTTTGTCTTGGTGTCTAGTTTCTCTTTTCTATTATAGTTTTCAATCAAATAAAAAAAAAACGTTAAAAGTAGGTCCACGAAGGGTCCATATTGGCCCTAAAATTCTGTGAAATTTAGCTTTGGTAATAAAAATTAAAATTTCAATATATGTAAAAATATCTGACAAATACAAATTAAAAAAGTTCTGACGCATTAGAACAATTATGAAGTCATATAAGTGTGCACTTTTATCAAGATAATCCAAATTTTGACTAGTTTGTTGCCTAAATTTTAATAGTTTTTGCTTCAAACGACATACCACATTCAAGGACAACCATAATTTTTAGTTAGGATATGTTTCTGACCCATACACATCTTTTTATACAGCAAATTTTTTTGTGTGGTCAATATTTTTCCGAAGGAAGTAAACCTTACAAATTCATAAAAACAGGCAATTTGGCTAAAAATTAGTACATTATCATACTTTTGAAGCTGTCAACATTGTTAAAAGGAACAACAGACATCAAAAGTGTCTTGTTTATCTAAATTTGCATATTTAAGATCTTAAATAGGTTTTTACATATGGTATTACAGATATTGATATTTTGGCCAATTAAAGGCCTTCGTGGCGATACTTCTTTGTAAAAATTATCATTTGGTGGCAGTTCATAATATCATAGGTCGATTGACTGTTCATCAAAAGGTTTCCTACAAATTGTTTAAACAAAAATTTGAATATGAAGAATATCTGAATATTTTAAGTGATAAAGATAGAATAACATATTATAGATTTATAACGGGAAGCCACAAGTTACCCATCGAAACTGGTAAAATTGAACGTAACTATAGATATTGTAATTTATGTCAATGCAACGAGATTGGTGATGAATTTCATTACATTTTGCAGTGTAACTCTTTGGCAAATTTTCGAGCACAATATTTGGATACTTTTTTCTTGCACAGAATTAATATACTAAAAGTTTGGAAAACTATTTCAGTTAAAATACAAAAATAAGTTAAAAAAGCTGTGCAAATTTATCAAGGTTATAACTTTTCAAGTAAGTCTTCCTGGTTAATCACCACTCTTCGCCACTACAGTTTATTTTATTTTATTTTTTTTTTCATCTCATCTTGTCATGTGTGTTTATGCTATGTTATAACTTTTTATGAACTTCTTTGTACCATTGCAACTATATGGTGTTTGAGAAATAAAGAATAGAGAAATCTTGATTCCCTAATTCAGTTATGTTCACCTATTGGTAAATCTTTTCTTTCTCATCATTTGTCTAAAGATGATAGTCAAAACTCACAAAAATGGGTAAACATTGAAGGGCAATAATTACTATATGGAGTTGATTGACAATTTCAGTCTAGTTGATCTATTTGCTCGCCCAATTTTGTCATAAACAATTGTCATACTAGTGGGAAGTGTAGCTAGCTATAAAACCAGATTTAACCCACCATTTTCCTCAAAAAATACCTGTACCAAAGTCAAGAAAATGTCAGTCGTTTTACATTCGTTCCTTTGGTTGATTTTGTCAGTTTTTATGGCATTCCCCTTTTTGAATTTGCCTTGAAGTTCGGTATTTTTTGTTATACTTTTTTATAGTCGAGCGTTTGATTTTGTCGGGTTTTATGGACTTCCCCTTTTTTATAAACCTTGGCGTTCGGTATTTATTTTAATACTTTTTTGTAGATTGTATCTTGCTGTACTAACCAAGATAGTTGTCTGATCTGTAATTTTACCGATTATGTTTAATTCCCGATTGTGACATTTTGACTGAGGATGATGCATGCATAGCAAGAGAGGCTTATCCTGTCGACGCATCCGGCCTCGCTCCTTTTGTAGTTCATGCGATTCACTCAGTTTTTGTTTGTTGACATGCTTTGTCTATCTCCAATCGATTTACGAGATTTGAACATCGCTAAACTACTGTCGCCTTAATTTACCATGTTTGCAATAAACAGCTTCTCGCTATCTACAGTTTTCAGGAAAATAGCTAAAAATACATAAAAGGATTAAAATCCCAGTTTCAAGTCAATAACTCCTAATTGGAGTTGATTGAAAACTTCAGTTATGTTTGCCTTATCATTTGGTCTTGGTTTTTTATAATTATTTATACTCTCATCACTTTGCAGCCGTTATCGTCCGTCTTCCATTAACTTATATTTAAAAAAACTTCTCGTCTGAAACTCCTGCAAATGACATGGAACCAAACTTCGCCATAATTATCCTTGGTGTACCTAGTTGAAATAAGTGTGTCTCGTGATAACGCCTGAATTCCAACATGGACACAAAGCCCAAAAAGCGAACATAGAGATAAAATGCTTGTATTGTCTATTATCTTGAAAACAAATATATATAGAGAGAAAATCGGGTAGGAAAAATGAAAAAAATGTCCATATTAACGGCTCCTTGTTGGAGTTATTACCCAGAAATAACGATTTTTATCATATAGCAAAACTATAATACTTAGAGAGAGCAATTTAAAAAAAAATAAATAGCAAAAGATCTTCCAATCAGCCAACATGGCCAAATTAACAGTCGATTCAATATATGAGTTATTTCCCATTAATGCAATTTTTTACCAATTTTTAAGGGTTTTTGGATGGAAACTCTAGAAGACGGATATAAACTGTACGTAACAAAACAAATCAACAAAATGTCATCAATCGACCTCTATTAGTAGTTATTCCATTAAACGACAATGTTTACCTATTTTTGTGTCTTTTGCAGAACCTATAATACAAAAAAAAATAATAGCAACAACATGGCTGAAATTTTAAGACGACTCTTCATAGGAGTTTTTGTCCTTGATTGGGGAATTTTACCCATAGTTTGATTTTTCCGGAAACTACAGTAGAAAAAGCGAAACTGTAAAAAAACAAAAACGCTCAACCAAATGATATCAACGTGGCTGAAATTTTCAGTCGTCTCTTTATAGGAGTTATTGCCGTTGATTGCCGATTTTTACCCATTTTTTGCTTTGTACTGGAGACTAAGGAGAAATGAGAAAAGCTGTAAATAGTACAAATTACCAGCAAAATAAGATCTAGAAAATAAACAAAATGAACGACATTGCCATTTATGCCAATTAATGATGATGATTTTTTACCAATGTGTTTTTCCTAATATCTTACAGATAGATAGATTTAAATTGCAAAAACGAAAAGCAACACAAGATCTACAAATATGTCAACCTGAATAACAATATCGGTCAAATCTTTACAGGAGCTGATGCCCCTTAATCACAATATAAATCTATTTCTTTTTATTTTGCTTTATATCTTGAAAAAGCAATATTGATTTTAACAACTAATAAGAGTTTGGACCGAAAAGATTCAACAGATATATTATCATTGCATTGTATCTATTTTATTTGAAAGTACTAGGTGAGCAAATCAGGCTTGTTTGAGCCTTTTGTTGCTGTTAACTGTTTTCTCTACAAATAATATTTTTCAAGAAATTTGCCAAAAATGCCAAAAAAAAACGGAGTGTTTATCCTGTTAGGATCTTTTAGAGCAATGATTCCTATTAGGAGTCAACTGTCGATTTCGTCTTTTCATTTTGGTTATGTTGACTTGTTAGTAGATCTTGTCCAGCTGAATACTTTTGTTATGTAAAATGTCTCTCTATGTATTATAGTTTTTAAGGTAGTAGCTTAAAAAAAAAACACCTAAACACATTTGTAATAAAGCATCATTAAACGACATATCAACTGACAATGTCGGCTTTTGCAACTTACTTTATAGCTCTTTTCTTGCTGGTGAGTTTAGCTGTTTACAGTTTGTCTCTATCGACTATATTTTCGCCAAAAACGGGGGAAATATCATTGAAGAGCGATAAGATATCAACTTCTATAAAGAGTGGATTGACTATCTGGATCATGTTGACTTATGTATAGTTCTAGTCTAGCGGGTCATCTTTGCTGTTTAAAAAGTAAAATAACAAAAATACACAACTCCGATGAAAATTCAAATCGAAAAGTCCCTTATCAAATGGCAAAATCAAAAGCTCAAACACATCAAACGTATTGAAAACAACTGTCATATTCCTGACTTGGTACAGGGATTTCCTTATGAAGAAAATGGTGGATTCAACCTGGTTTTATAGCTAGCTAAACCTTTCTGAAAGTTTTTCTCTATTTATTGTTATTATCAAGATTATAACCATAAAACAAATAAAAGTATGCAAATCATCATTTAGTGCATCACAACTCATTTGTAGCCGTAGTGCATTGCAAATTATTTGCAGTTACTCATAAAAGTAGTTTACTAAAAGAAATCGGTTGTATTGACCTATCTGTCGATATTATGTAGCCCATCATTCAAAATTACTGTTTAATATTTCTCTCCATCTTTTTCAGTTTTGAAAATTATAGCCCAAAACGCAAAATTGGGTAAAATCGTCTTTAATCTATTCGTTGGTTTTAAAAAGATTTGGTTATTATATTGTGTTCCTTTTGATCAAACATCATCTGTAGTATTCAGGTATTTTCCATCCTTGGATTACATAGTTTAGGGTTTGAGCGTTCCCGATGAAGGTAAATCGCTGCGGACACACAAATGAATGAAGCGTTCGTTTCATTTAAAGACAATACTTCATATCAGGAGTCAACCTGGGTTTTTCGGTCATGTTGATTTATTTGTAAGTAATGTTTCCTACATTAAGTTTCTTTCTATATATAAGTTTTCAAGATAATAGCATACAATTGCGAAATTTGACAAAATGAACGGTTCAGGGGTAATAATGCCAAAATGGTTTGTCCGATTTTTTTCTCTCAAGGTAGATAGATATTGACTATTTGATTATATTTACCATTTTCTATCAATCAATAACTGAACTTTCATTTTTTAGCAGAAGATTGTCCATCAAATTTGCAAAAAGCAATGACAATTCCAAGAATGCGTGATAAAGTTGGTGATAATGATGACTATATACTGATGTCAGGTATATTATGCATATACGACCACAGTTGTACAAATTGTACTTGTAGACTAGAGGATACAATAAGCAATTGAGAATCATGGGCGCAGCCAAGTAATGAAAATATCTAGAATAAGAGTATGGCTAATCCTGATTGGTCATTGTGTGTAGTCGATATTTTTTATTACTAGACATTTCGTGCACTCTTCATTTTACCAGAGGCAACGCAATATATTTTCATTAACCCGAAAGCAGCTAAGAAGTCTTTTCTACGCTATGACAAGAAACGTTTTTAATTGCAGAAATGGTAGGGGAGTTGAGTAACATTTAACTTAAGAAAAGCAACGGAAACCTATGTTTTTTTTTACTAATATTTTTTCTTTTATTCTAACAAAGTCTCTTTCTCAAAATCAACTTTCTAACGTATGTATCTAAAAAAATGCTACTAGTGTCGCCCATGGGAAACCAATTGTATTTTGCAATCTAGATTGCCCTCTCCTTTCTTATTTCTAGTGGGTTTTTTTCTGCTCCCTTTAATTACATGTTCTGCTAATACTAAATTTTAAATAATTGTTTGGCTTTTGTAAAAAAAAAAAACTGTTTGTTAATAAAGGCTCCTTTGAAAAATAAAAAAAAAAATCTACGAGGTGCGAAACTTTGAAAACTTGAAATCATAGTTATTCTACGATCCTGCTGGATAACTCATAAATGAAATTTGTATTTTACTTTGTAACTGATGTTCGCGTGTTTTGTGTATCATTTTAGTTTTCCTATTTATTATCGCATTAAGAAACATTCCTCGAGTTAAGTGTTGTATGATGTTGCAACAATGTTTTCAATTTTGTAAACATATGTTGGGGTGAGTTGAAGCTTCTTTTTGGAAGTTATTGACTTAAAATCACAATTCTAACCATTTTCAAGTTACTAGTGTTTGCTTATTATCTAGAAAACCATTATAGATAAAAAGAAACAGTCCAAAATATATTGAGTAGCAAGAAAGAATCTACAAAACTGCAAATATGAAAGCTTAAATTGACTCGTTGATATAGGAGCAGTCGTCCTTAAATAACTGTTTCAATACTAGATATACAGAAACTAAAATTGTCACATGACCAAAGCAATTGAATTTTTACGACTGTTTTCCTTATGTATATGATAATTTTTTGGAACATTTTTAAAGTTTTGGATATTAACCTAAAAACAGGAATAGATAGATAGAACTACGCATGTTTGTATCAAATACTTTAAGATATATATATATATATAAATTCAATTCAAAGCAAAGAATTTACAAATAATTAGTTATCTTTATTGTTCGTCGTATCTGGAAGTATTATTCAATATGGTAAAATTTTCATCGGCGAAAATATTTCAATGTATCAATCTTTTTTTTTCAGACAAAAAGGGTGATGTTGATCACACCGATGATTACGAAGTAATTGATGAGTCAGGTAAATTCATTTATCCTCAGATTCTATTTTGTTATTTTTTATCTAATTGAAAGGTTTAATTTATTGACTGCAAATTTATGTTTACATTAATTTCTGAAGCATTTGTGCAATTCTCGAAATAGTAAATTTCTTATTTGCGTTATGCATATAAGTAAATTTTAAATGCTAATGCAAGCTCGGATCAGTTCTACTTATTTAAGCCAAAATATTTGAATTTTGTTATATTCTAAGTTTACATATAGAGTAATACTACTATTAATTCGGGTTTTTTTTTCAGGTGCACAAGAGATATTTTATAAAAGAGAAATGACTCAAAAATCAAAAGTCAAGGTAGCGTATGGTTTTTTTTTTATGCTTACGGCTCGTGAAAGGCTTTTTTCAAATAATACGTACCAAGTATAAAAACTGAACCTGGTATTTCATTATTTAAAAAACAAGACAAATAATATATATATATATTATGGAAAGATTTTAGAGTAGGCATTTATAGAATATGGTGGGATTAGTGAATTTACACATGATTGTTATTGTACATGTTCGAATTAATTTACCTTATTTGATATTTTGTTACCTTCAGCTGTATATTACAAATGTATTATACCATTTAACATCAAAGTCAAGGACCATATAAACTATGCCACAAAATCATTAGACCAGACCAAATTTCTAATTATAACTTGATCTGTAACTTGTCATGATATAACTACATAGAAATAAGAAGATGTGGTATGAGTGCCAATGAGACAACTATCCATCCAAGTTACAATTTATAAAAGTAAACCATTATAGATCAAGGTACGGCCTTCAACACGGAGCATTGGCTCACACCGAACAGCAAGCTATAAAGGGCCCCAAAAAATTACTAGTGTAAAACCATTCAAACGGAAAAACCAACGGTCTAATCTATATAAAAAACGAGAAACGAGAAACACGTGTGAACTACATAAACAGACGACAACTACTGTAATCAGATTCCTGACTTAGGACAGGTGCAAACATTTGCAGCGGGATTAAACGTTTTAATGGTACCAAACCTTCTCCCTTTTCTGAAACAATAGTATAACATCACAACATAGAAAAACACACTATAAAATATCAATTACATACCAATCAAAGGGTTCCTGTAAGTGATACTTGTAATAATAATCATTGTAATAAATTATTTGTAATTATACTGCTCTTTTAGGGCGTCCTTGATTGACAATAAAAATATTGTATTGTAAAAACTCTGCCTTTATCATGAATGAAGCTCCTTAAAAAGGGCCAAAAAAAACTTGAAATTGTTATGCTGTCTATAAGACACAAACGATACCCCCGCCTGACCATAGGAAATTATAAATTTTACAATATATATGATGATTTAACTGTAGGAGGAGATAGCTGGACAAACCACAGTGGCGGATCCAGAAATTTTCATAGGGGAGGGGCACTGACTGCCTAAGAGGGGGCCCGTTTCAGTCATGCTTCAGTGATTCCCTATATAATCAACCAAATTTTTCCCACAAAAAGGGGGGGGGGGGGGTCCGGGCCCCCTGAAAAAAAAACTCTAAATCCGCCTCTGAACCAAGATCTCTTTTTGCAGCTGTAGTACCAAGAAAATGACCAACTTAGGGTTACTACAGCTGTGATCAGCTATAATTGTCACAATATTTGGAAGAAATCAAAATCATGTGGCCATGCACACCTTTATTATGTGTATGAACATCCTACAAAATATTAAAGTTGTACCTTCAAAACTGTAGGAGTTAGCCGGACAAACAATGCATCTTACGGACGAACAGACGGACGGACAGGGGTAAATTTATACCCCCCCCCAACTATTTTGTCACGGGGGGCTTAAAAATTATACAGACGCTTACGCACACACTTACTTACATACATACATACATACATACATACATACATACATACATACATACATACATACATACATACATACATACATACATACATACATACATACATAGTATGCATGTGCTTGCGTGTTTAAGGTTTTCAGTTGTCTTTTCAACAATAACACCTATCTATCTCAACCTTTCTTGGTGTAATGAACCAGAATATGCAAATCTAGAGAGTTTTGAATGTATTTCTCTGTTCCGCGTCTGCATTTGATGTAAGTCTTTGCATTTTTATATTTCCCCGCAGATTATAACAATCATAATATTCGGGTCCCGGAGATTATTTTTGGTTTGGTTTATAAAAGCCGAAGATTTTATTATTGATAATAATCGGTGGGCTCTTGATTAAAAGCCGAAGATTTTATTATTGAAAATAATCTTCGGGCTCTTGATTAAAAGCCGAAGATTTTACATTTGATAATAATCGGCGGGGGTCAGACTTTTAAAAGCCGAAGATTTTATAATTGAAAATAATCGGCGGCCATTTGATTAAAAGCCGAAGATTTTATAATATAATAATCGGCGGTGAATTTTTAAAAGCCGAAGATTTCGACATTGAAAATAATCGGCGGTGAATTTTTAAAAGCCGAAGATTTTGACATTGAAAATAATCGGCGGGTCTTTATTTTTAAAAGCCGAAGATTTTAGAATTGATAATAATCGGCGGGATTCTAAAAGCCGAAGATTTATTTAAATCCATGTATTTCTAAGGAAAAAATAATAATGATCGGGGGGTTCACTGTGGCTTTCCATAATATATATATACTTTTAAATCATAATATGTTATCCCATTAAAAGCTTATATAGTATAGCGTATTACCAATGGGGTCCATTGTTTGAAAATATATAAAAATAATATTTCAAATTATATGTTAAAATTTGACTTTCACGAAAAAAAAAGAAAGATCAATTGTTTCTTAAAAAAATATAAAAAATCTCCAGGCTGTTATTTTCAATTGTTCTTTAAGCCTTGGTCACACCTTAACGGATAGCTCGAACGGATGCCGAACGGATAACTTTTTTTCAATCCGTTCATGTCCGTTAGATGTCCGTTCTTATCCGTGTAGACATCCGTCCATATCCGTTTCATGTCCGTTTAGCGTCCGTTTTATCCGTCGACGTCTGTTCTGTCCGGTGGAAAATTTTGAGCATGTTCAAAACTTTGAACGGACGTCCAACGGATGAAGTGTTCGTTGAACGTCCGGTAGGCGTCCGTTTTGTACGGTACTCGTCCGTTTCGTTTCCGTTTTGTATCCGTTACGTGTCCGTTATACATCCGTAAGAGGTCCGGTAGACAAATTCACCAACGGACTTCTACCGGACGTATAACGGATGATGAACGGATGGGAAACGGACATGAACGGAAGGATAACGGATACCTACCGAATGTAAAACGGATAAATGCCAATTGAAAATTTCGCGTCACTCAGAAATGACAATTATTGATATGTCAGATTTCTTGAGTGCCATGAACGTCTATTACTCATGATGGATCTTGGAGTAAGAGCATGTCTTCACTATCAAGCAGCTCTTATTCAGGTCCGACTGAACTTAAATGTTGCAAATATAAACCTACTAGTTGTCGAAAGGAGAAGAAGGAGAAAACAAAGGAGATGGTGGGCAAGATCATTGCTTAGTCCTGAAAGATATGTATTATTATTATCGCTTTTAATTTTCCGCTTATCTTGTTCATCCGTTTTATCCGGTACGCTTCCGTTAGGTTTCCGTTTTATGCGGTACTCGTCCGTTGGATGTACGTTCGACGTCCGTTCTGTCCGGTACGTTTCAGTTTCTCGTACGTTGCACATCCTGTGAGTGTCCGTTAGGCATTCGTTACCCGTTCGTTTTATTTGATCAGTATACCAACGGACACCCAACGGATACAAATTTTGTCAACGGAAAACTTTTTTTTTCATCCGTTCGTCGTCCGTTCGAGCTATCCGGTAAGGTGTGACCACAGCTTGAACTGCAGTCTTAAAAGCAGATCTATTTGATATATTTTTTATGTTGGCTGGTAGATTGTTCCAGTCTTGCACAGCATTATAGACAAAGAAGTTTTGTTTTATTACAGTTTTTAACATTTGGTACAAAAAAATTATTATTTGTAGTACTTCTGGTATTATGATTATTCAGGTTAGCTGGATTGCAATTGACAAATGAAGTCCAATAAATCATTGTATCCTTTCTAACTGGACTGTTCCCATGGATGTTGTTTTCGGTTTATTGCAATGCACTTTGATTTTTGTTTTCTCGAATTTCGAATTTATTCTAATTAACTTAGGTGTCTCTGCTTTTCTTTTTCCACTCGATACGGTTAAAATGTATTAATTTATTATCAATAACAGTTACTGTAAATAGATGCCTTTAAAATTAAATTTGCAAAGCCTATAGATAGAATGAGTTTTAATGTCATACGAATCCATGATCTTTCGATTTCTACCTTATTTGGTACACTGCATTATGTTTAGCCACAACCTCCTATTTTTATCAGTAAATCAAAAAGGTTGCAATTGGCCCTTTGTCTTTGAAATTGACCACGAATAGCAGTGGCCATTAAATCTGAGTATAAGCATACAAGTACGTCGTTAGAATTTAACCTTTACCCTTTATCCTAATTGATTGGTTGATTGTTGGTGTTTAACGCCACTTTCAGCACTATTGGCTATAGTATAAATATCGTGGCGGCCAGTTTTTATTGGTGGAGGAAGCCGAAATGCCTGTAGAAAACCACCGACCATCGGCAGGAAAATCAAAAGAAGCAATCCTCTTATGGTGGTGAAGATGTATACAATGTGTATGAAATTGAACTAACCGTTTAGTTTACATCATGTATCCATGGGTTTCACTTGTATCGTTGACCTAAGGCTTGTCCTTTAAAGGGGCATTAGCTGTCAAATTCATGTTCACCGATTTGACTCAAATTGTCATATTTGATTTATAACATACTAAAACGTATATCCAATTTATAAAAAGTCTAAAATAAACAATTTACAATGCATGGGCTCGATAATATGTATCAACATTTCGTGTGTATTTCAGTCTAGACGCCATCTAATTGACCATCGAGGTGACCTCCGAAGACTCCCGACGGTCTTATAACCCGATATAAACATAAATATAGATATAAATAGTAGCGAACTCGTGCAATTGGATTTTTCTAGGTCTGTTTGATTTCATATTATAGTTTAAAAATATATTTTAATCATCGATTTTACCTGTATAAGAATGAGTTTTTGTGGATCGAATCATTCAATAAATGGTTTACCCTTGTTTCACTTTCAATGTTGACATTCTTTTCCTTTTCATAACTGAACACGCCTAATTCATGCGTAACCCATCTCTAGCTGAAGGGTTAAATGGAAGGTCACATGAATACGGATTCAATGAGGTCGAATTATTCACTTGCAAGTGAATAATTCATCAGCGATGTTTCGTAGCTTATTTTGACAAAATTGAACCAAACTGGCTTTTCAAAGCGAATTATTATTTCGCTATTTCACTTTCATTATTGATTTAACAAAAAAAGTCATATTTTCTTTTTTTTTCTTTTTCTTATATCTCGTAGCTAATGCCCCTTTAAGACCAGTAATGATTGGAAGGTAATTGGCCCCACAACTCACTCTGATAAAAATCGGTTCACCACAGATACACATGACAAGGACGCTCATTCCTTTCCAAATGTCGGTGCGAAGCGATACAAGTGTTAGACATGTAATTTCGTTTTGAATGCACCAAACATACTGTTATACAATATTTACTATTGAAAGCTTTAGTTTATTTTTATCCCCAAATATTCGAATGAATATCGTTTGCAAAATTGCAACGTCACGTACGAACTTTATCTCAGTTCTCACATATTCTATCTTCTCAATAATAAAAAGATATAGGATTGAAACCACGGGAAAAGTCTTGAATAGGGTTATTTACTCAAATTGAAAATATTAATGAGGTATTTTTTTAATTGCCTTTTTCCGAAAATCAAGTAAGAATAGCAAAATTGAGTGAAAATCAAACTATTGATAACATAAAAGTTTTTAGCATAGAACATTTTAAGAGTTTTCTTTTTACAAAATGGTGGCGGTATGTTGAGTAATACTGTAATAGCTGTTATGATTGACTGTTGTCAAAACGGCTAACCAAATGATTGACTGTTCTCATAAAATGAAGCGCGTTTGTAGTTAATAGATCATAGTATAAAAATCCTAAGAATTAAATAAATTATTTCATACGGTTTGGTGTGATTGTCAATACAATCGCTCAGAAATAGTTTGGTTTTCACTCAATTCTTTTTTGTCAAATTGCAGTCTATGAAATACACCGAAGATGGTATTATCTAAATGCATGACTTTTTTTATTAACAACATATATTGAGTTTGGAGAATTGGTATTTTAACAGACAGTCGGTATTTTAAGGGGTACTAATTGTGCATCCCAACAAGACGACTTGTTTTGTACTCATATAAAGCAGAATCCATACAGCACCTTCTAAAAGACGAAAACAAAATGCGTCTTGGTAAGCTCTTTAATTTCACTTTCAGATATATTGATGGTGTCCTGTCACTCAAAAGCCCACATTTCAGTGATTGCTTGCATCTCACTTATCGCAGTGAACTTGAAATTAAGGATACTACCGAAACTAGAAAGTCTGCTTCATATCTTGATATTTTCCTTAATATTTATTTGAGAAACGTAAAATTTCAGCTTTTCTTCATTGTTTACTTTCAATTTCTCAGTAGTGGCATAACACTCTGTCCCATCGTAAGGTATTTACGTATCTTTATTGATACGTGACGCTAGAGCATGTTCACATTATACGGACTTAATCAATAGAGGGTGTGCTCATGACACAAAAACGACCCCAACATGGTTACAAAGAAGAACGACGGAAATTGACACTACATAAGAGGCGAAAGATACCAAAGGGACCGTATTGCTCATGATAGTACAAACCCGGTGATACTGAGTGTATAGTTATAGCCAAAAGAAAATGGATCGAACAGATATTTACAGATCACAAAACACTTCACAGAAAACTAAAGATTAAGCAACACAAACACCTCTAAAATCAGTGGGGTTTAGAAGCATATGGTACACGTTGCAAATGTACAAGCAACATTTCTTCGAATTTTGATCAATATTTAACTTTTTAATAACATGTCAAACACATTCTAAAACTAGCATAATATCTTTTTTTTGATAAAAAAAAAAAGCAAAGAATTATTTTACAAGGAAACGCATGTAACTGGTTTCAATTTTGCATTTTGTTTAATATCAAAGACATTTGACAATTCTAATATATATAAAAAGAAGATGTGGTATGATTGCCAATAAGACAACTCTCCATAATAGACCACATAATGAACACAGAATAGAAAAACCGTACTAATTTGCAGAAGGTGGGTTTTTTGGGAAACTGCTAAAGCTTTAAGGTTTCTGTTTCCATGACAATGGACATTGGTTGTAGTTTAAAATAATGAAAAATCCATTTTCGTCCATTTTCGTTCAGAAATATCGACTCACAGGGAAGCAGAAGTTATATATTTAAATGCTGGTTAGTTGCATTCTTGCGTTCTTAAATCTCCGTTCCTATGAGAAACTATCCTCATTCAGACCTTGAACGGTCGATTTGCAGGTGTCTTCCTTTTGGAATTTATAAAGGAACAAGCCGTATACGAATAGAAAGAATCGACAAATTCGATCATTTAGTTTATACATGTCATGGACCATATGAGTATTTGGATCATACGCATATGGTCATGAACATGTTGGTATGTACTCATATGGTACAACCATACGCGTATGATCCCGGTATTTAATACGATGAACGTTGCATTAGGTATGACCCTTCAAGGTGTCATAAATTAACAGTTTCTTAAAATCATAGTGAAAGCATTTTTACATGGTCATTATGGATTCTTCATTACGAAACACAATATGTCGACGTCGACTTTGAATTAAGACTTCAAGACACCGGTGGTTTCACTTGCGGGCGAAAAAGTCGACATGGTAAATGCATGCGCTTTAAATTGACTCTAGCGCAGGCAAGATAACAGATACACCCAGATGCAATCTACAGGCTTTTAGAAAGAAAGTAACTTGTGTCGATTTTGGTTCGATGAAAGAGCCGTGTGTTCCTGCAAAGGAAGTCATAAGTTATTTGAAAAATACCTATATGGTCTAAATACTCATATGGTCTGGCCCGTTAATAACCAAACTAGTATATACTATATACTATTAGTTACATAGTATGATAGTGACCTAATACGATATATATATGGGGACAGTAAATTCCATATTGGATGAGAGTAAAGCTCGAATCCCCATATAAAATATTGACCCCATTCATATCGTATTAGGTCACTAGCACACTGTGTAACGAGTTTATCTTAACAACTATCTTAACATGTGGTATTTAGACTAGTGGCCTATCAAAGTGATCATCAAGTCTTCTATATTAAGAACCTACTTCCCTTGCTCTATACAAAAACAAATGACAAAAATAACAACTTGTTAGCTTTTTTATGTGTTATCTGAATTTATTTCAATCATTCATTATCAATTTCTTCGTCTGTTGAAACCTTTCAGATTTTTCCTCAACACCGTGTTGTTTTCACAAAGGGACGTAACACCACTACTAACCGTGTATTGAAATAAACCACGCCTACTAACCCTTATATGAAATATACACGGTTGCTTTTAACCAATCATATTCCTAGAAATGTATAAGAGGTAAGACAATATGGTCCGACTATACGCGATGGTCGGACCATATGAATATACGCATATGGTCATGACCATACGCGTATGGTTCAAATACTCAGTATGATCTGGAACATATAACAGCTTCAAATTGATTTCCTTTAATGATAAGACCAAACAAAGTGGGCATTACCGATTCAAAATGATTGAAGTATCTCATCTTAATTTCTACATACATTTGTTGATCACTTCATAATCTGTCCAATAGATTTTATTTTACCCGATCCGACGGCATCCTATACATTACATACACAATATTTTTAGAGTTTGCCGCCGTTGACCAAAATAAAACGCTTTTCCGTAATTGTTCAACATCACCACATTGTTTGTTTTCAGTCACAAACAAAAATTAGTTTTTGTGCAACCGTCATTAGGTCAACCGGTGCAAAATTAAGGTCAATCGTATTTAAATCCCAGGTCGAAAATGGTGTATTGAAGCATCTTTTTCAAGAAATCACATGGAATTATTATCCTTGATATAGCCTGTTCAAAGCTACTTAACCGGTAACGTTTATTTTTTTTTATTGAAAAAGTATAATATTTATAGATTTGCAATTATATGGTAACTTCAGTAAGAATTGACCCACTGCACTAATCTTGACAAAATCACTGCACCAAACCAAAGAATTGTATATTTAAATAAACAATTCCTTGACCAAACACTGCTCTGTATGACAATATTGTGCTTTGTGATAATATAGTTTAATTATCCGCCATACATGTTTCTTTTTAAATCTTCTAGAAATTAGTTGGTTCAATTGGGAGGAAATTTCCATCTAGCTTGAAAAATATCTTCGTTCAATCATGGACTCCTACAAGCAGCGGAAAAGAAATGGGAAAGGATCATGCAAATTGCAGGAGTGGCGTTAAACAAAATTATGAGACAAATTTAGAACATATAGGCGATTTGGAAGGAGGAGAATACACTGAAATAGTTGATACTACGATTAAACCTGTTTTAGTTGTTAAACCAACGTCGGCAGTTTCACCGAAGCGAAATGCAGAACTTCTTAATGATGAAAGTTTAAAAAATATGTCAGTTGAAGAACTTGTTGCTCGTTTTCGATTTTGTAAATTAGACAGATTAGCAGATTTATGTGAAAAAGAAGCCTTTGATGGTAATATTTTTGGAAGTTTAACTGATGAACAACTGCAGAGTGAACCGTTCTGTTTACGGCCTGTTGATTTAATTAAAGTACAAAGTGTTAAAAACGGATGGAGACCGATATTCAAATGAAAATAAAAAGTTTTGTTTCTACCAATTAACAGCTTATCAACATCAAAAGAAAAAAGGGATATTGTAATATATTAATATCTTATAAACATCAAATGAAAAATTTGAGTATTTTTAATGTAACGGAAAGTGCTTAGATTATATCTTTTAAGTCCCTTTACACTGTTAAAAGATCATAAACCAAAGAATCCTTATGAACTTAGAAGACTGCATTCAAAAATACACATATTTCGACATAAATTAAGTGAATATCAATCATATTTATCAAATTAACCAGATGTCTTAAGAAATGACTTAATAAAAGCTATTTCTGCTGTTTATCCATCGAACACGCAGCATCTGGAAGTTAAATATAGACAAGTCGCGACTGATCGTCCCACAGTCTAATTAAAATACAGAACTCTGTACTAAATATGGAGTATAACTCTCGTTATACTCCATATTTTAATTAGACTGATCGTCCCACGAACTGTTGCAATGTGTTATAACAGGTTAAAATCAATCGGCCTGCCTGTCTAGAAGAAAACAGAGTATATTCTTATAAACATGTTATTATCCTGCATGTGAATGTAATATTTGCTGTTGGGTTGTACACGTCAAATCATCATTGTTGAACCAATTCCTGCCTAGTCATTTTGGGGCCCTTTATAGCTTGCAGTTGGGTGTGAGCCAAGGCTCCGTGTTGAAGGCCGTATACTTTGACATATAATTGTCAACTTTTTACACATTGTGACTTGGATGGAGAGTTGTCTCATTGGCACTCATACCAAATCTTCTTATTTCTATCAAACACATTTGCAGAAAGATTTGTATGCCAAACAAATTACATTTTTCTCTTAACTTTTAAGGGTGTGCAACAACTACATACGTTACCCCGAGAGGTGCATCAACTGTTTCCCCGAGAGATATTTTTAAGGGTGTTCAACAACTGTTTCCCCGAGAGATATTTTGCTACAAGAGAGCTGATCTTTAGAGACTCTCATGTGTTCGTTAAACAATATCGTTCCTTTTCAATGCATATTAATATGATAATATATTTTGATGGTTAGGATGGTGTTTATATTATTACTTCGTCAATATAAACGTATCATGCCTATTTCAGTGATCATGACACGCGTTTTCTTCTATCGTCGGGGAGGGGAAGTTTGATCGTCAAATACTAGTATATAAAACGTTTTCCAAATAATCATCAAACCAAAAACAGTCAAAACTGTCTACGGTTAGCTTTTTTTAGGCATTTGCATCATTTGATTAATAAAAAAAAACATGATAAACAAACTGAAAGGAGAAAGTATGATAAGGCCTCTTTTCGGGCCCCCGTGAATTCCAAAATCTTATTTTTAATACCTTTCTTACAGCAAACAAAATTTCAAACAATTAAAAAAAGAATCCAACGGCTTGATTTATGCTCGAAAAATATATGTGACAGTAACCAATGGCAATCACTGAATTACAGGCTCCTGGCTTTGGACAGACACATACATATAAAGATAAGGAGATATGTTATGGTTGCAAATGAGACAACTATCCACCAAAGTTCAAATGAAGTGGATGTAAGCAATTATAGGAAACCGTGCGGCCTTCAACAATGAGAAAAACCCATATACCGTATAGTCGGCTATAGAAGACCCCGACATGAAAAATATGAAACAATTCAATAGAGAAAAATAACGGCCTAATTTATAACAAAACAATTTACGAAAAACAAATATAAATGACATGAAACAACGACAACCACTGAACTACAGGCTCCTGACTTGGGACAGGCACATAAAGAATTTGGCGGTGTTAAACATTTTTGAAGGCGCCAACCCTCCCCTAACCTGGGATGGTGGTATAACGGCACAACACAATAACACACTTTACAAAACAATAAACGAAAAACAGATATAAGAAACAGCAATAAACGACAACCACTCAATAACAGAATCCTTACTTGGGACATGCACTTAAAGAATGTTTGTGTGCGTTCAGCCCCGAACTTGTGCCAGGGGAACATATGCATAAACTGTAGACATCATCAAATCTGCATGAAGCACAAAAATAACCCCACAAGGCAGGGAACTATGAGTACTAGCAGTAACTAGCTATTGAAAGCTGGTTAAAAGTCAATTTCGTCTAATAAATAAACCATGTTTTCCTAGACTCATAGGCTGCAAAAACTGCCAACGAGTCCATCTTTGAGCATCTTTTCGTTTCTATTTTGAAATGAGCAACAAAATACCCAAATATATACATATAGAGCCTCAAAAATACCGGCATTACCAGTTATTTCCATCAAACAAATATTACTCCAATTCAAATATGAAATCAACTATAGTTGAGTTGCAATTTGTAGTTCATTCAAACTTGAGGGTTGAAAAAAGGACTACTTAATTGAATTTATACGATATTCAACCTGTATCAACATTGATATGTATGTGTAATGTATATGTGAAGAGCGATAACTCAAAATAACTTTTTAATAACAATGTCACAATGGTGCCTTTCGTCTATCATGTTACAAAAAGAAAATTATAAATAACACAAATATAAACATATTCAGAAAAAATAGAAGATACAGAGAGGTAATCAAAAATCAAAATTAAGAACAGATGGTCAAAAGAAACTTCTCAGAAAACCAATACGACCCGACGGTAAACTCGGGGACCGTACGCCCTCTACGCCTCCCCCCCTGAATCCGCCACTGACCAATATATCTTGCATTGTGTGCGTACATTACCTACTAAGCTATGCATGTGTATATATAGTCTTATAAAATTTATTGACTTTTACAACATTATTCATAATTAATAATATACACGTATGAAGTTGGGTTTTTTTTTTTTTTTTGTCTCTTTTATGTTATATCAATCAAGTAATTCTTTACCTCAGTATTGTCACCTTTTGTATTTGTTTACTTTTGTTTATTGTTATAATCTCATGTCATCGTTTCAACTTAGAAATAAACTATAGTACGCTCCAGTTGCAAATGCTGTTGGAACGCACAATTGTGACCCGCCATGACATTTCCAGGCTTATGGCGGTAAACGTCATAATGAGAAAACGTCTATGTAAAGTCACGTAACGTAATAGGGGTACTTGTTATTTAATGTTCAATTATATCTTGCGGTAAAATAAAGATTCGTTTTTTTCATAACTTGAGGAAATTTGAATTTTATATTAAGATATTAAGATATTAAGATATACAAAACAAGTTGATCTTTTTTGTAAAATTAATAATTTAAGTTAAAATCCCGTTTATAATCGCGTTCTAAATTCACACAATTACCTGTTAGACTTCTTTGCGTAAATCACTTTCTCCTGAATCATTAATATGTTTTCCATTAAAATAGTTTAAATTATATCACCATTGCGAGATATTATTAAGAAAAATTACCAAAAATTATAACAGATTGCAGCATGAACACCAAGTTTTTTGAGTAAAGTTCATTTTTTCACATTGTACGGGAAAATATGAACATATGTATGGACATTTACCGGTACATGTAAATCAAGCAAGATATGCTTGCCCATTAGGACCCCAATAGTGTCTCATCCCATGTTTATTCCTATAGTTTTTTTTTATCTATGACCGGCTTAGAACTACATAAAAAAGATGTATGTGTTGTTGAAAGTTTTTTTGCGTCCCTTTCAACTGCTTACCCTAATATTATTGACCATGCTGTTTGATTTTTCATCTTACTCTGCATTAACAGATCTTTGATTTACTGATCACTTTGTCAGGATACATGTACAATATATGTATTCACAAAAAGATATATAGATATACATCACAAGGCATATTAAATAATACGCAGCTCCTTGATGGTTTATCATCTTGATATTCACTTTCTTAGCGTTGATGAAGTTTTCCTTACGAAAGAAAGAAAAATGTTTACGTCTTTATGATTTTGATTGCAGATTCCGGTACATTGATGTAATGGCAACCAAATTAAAATTCTTCAGTTATTTAGTTATTAAAGCTACAATTACATTTTGATTACTAGTAATTAGAAAAGACTTGACCCCCCCCCCCCCCCCCCAAAAAAAAAAATCCGACTAGGCTCGATCTGGAAACCATTCTAATTTTAAGGTTCGGCTCCAAACTCCACATTATGAGTCCCGGGCTTTTTTGAGGACTGTTTGGGGCTTCGGGCTCAACTAATTTTACTCCATGCAGGTTCCAATAAATGAAGACCCCCAGCTCCGTCGATAGAGATCCGGAGTCAAGATACATGGGCCCCGGACTCCTAAGGAACTGTAGAGCCCGTGTTATTATCCCATCAAGTGGTACTAACTGTCGGAACAACGAACTCTCATGAGACTAGGTGGGTCAACAGGGCGTTATTCGAGTCCACAGTCTTACATATAATACAATATAAAATGTCAAAACAAGAAAGGTGAAAAAAACTCTGGTAAATGAAAAGACTTTTAAAAGAGTGTCTGTCCATATAATCCCGAATTCGTCAAAACAATTTGCCGATACTATTATTTTGGCATTGAATAAGGTCAAGTTTTTCTCATACTTCTTTTGAATTATTCACGCTAAATCTGTCAAGTTGGAGTTGTACTGATTGACATTTAAGTTTAGAAGAACATGATTTATCTTTTAGCAGAAAGATGGCATTGAACCAGCTTTGAGTAAATGTGAGTACTCTGGTCGATAGTTTGTGTCTTCTATCTTTTTAATATTTGTTTTAAGTTCCCGGCGATCTTAGGAGTCCGGCCCTTTCCAACTATATTGACTTTTGACAGTTTGTTAATTCTTATGTTGTGTTGTTACATAACTGAACAGGTTGTGGGAGGGTTGAGTGCACACAAACATGTTAAACCTCGCCACATTCTTACTTATCATGTGCGATGTGACTGGCGCAAGCCAGGAACATGAATTTTTTCGTTTCCTTGGTTACTGTCTGTCATATTTGTTGATGTTTATTGCTGAAGTACAAATCAGGCCGTTGTTTTTTTTTTCGTTTGTATTGTTCACATTTTGTCATGTCGTGGTATTTTATATGGGTGTTGCTCATTGCTGAAAGCCGTATGTGGACCCGTTATTGTTCACATCGATAGTTGTCTCATTAATTGACAATTTCACATTCTTTATGTGCCTGTCCCAATTCTTCTTCTTCCAAGTTAGGAACCGGTTATATGAATGTGTTTTGTCCCGCGAAAACTTTGCGCAGTGTCGGGCAACATAGCTAGTCTTCTCAAAGCTATTTACATTTAAAACATTCACCAATTTACAATTAAAACTATATACAGGCTATGCTGTTTACTTCCTTTCAGAGCCTGCTTTCAGAGCCTGCTTTCAGAACAGCTCTGAATCCCTCTATCGTGTCGACCGAGGTTGTTTTAGATGTTGATTCCAATCCCTAATGGTCTTTGGGAAGAATGATTGTCAATAGGTGTCTTTTTTTATTCTTTCTTGGTAAAAGCGGCCTATACCTCTGGTCCGACTGTCATTGTGGATTACATATTGTTTTCTGTCTATATCTATTAGCCCATGCTGGATTTTAAATAGCATACATAGTCTGTTGGTTTTCCTACGTTCTTCCAGGCTTTCCCACTGTAGTTGTTTAACCATGTGTGTTACACAGCCATGTGTTCGGTCTTTGTAGTTGTAATGGACAAATCTTGCTGCTCTTTTTTGAACTTGTTCTAATGATTTGATCTTTTTTAGGCTTGATGGATCCCAAACTGTGCAGGCATATTCCACTGAAGGTCTTACCATGGCTGTATATGCTGCTGCTTTTACTGGTTTGGTGCAGTCTTTCAGATTTCTTCGGATAAATCCAAATGTTTTATTTCCTTTGCCTACAATGTTGTCAATGTGTCTATCCCATGCAGGATAGGTTGTTGCTGATAGTTACGCCTAAGTTTTTGCTGGCATCAACATTGTCTAGTGTATGTCCGTGAAGTTTGTAATAGGTATCTATTACTTCTTTGTTCTTCTGTGTTATTCTCATTACTATGCAATTTTTTTTTGCGTTGAAGCTCATTTGCCATTTATTCTCCCAGTCTTCTAATGATGTTAGGTCTTTTTGCAAAAGGTCACTGTCTGCCTTGTTGTTGATTGTTCTAAAGAGAAAGCTATCATCTGCAAATAGTTTGGTTTCAGATGACGTTGATGTTTCTGGCATATCATTTATGTAGGTCAGAAACAATAGAGGTCCAAGAACTGTGCCTTTGGGAACGCCAGATAGTACCGGGACTTGAGAGGAGACAGCTCCTTCTAATATTACGCTCTGCATTCTATTTTCGAGGAAAGAACGAATCCATTGTGTAGCTTTAAGGTTAACTCCATAATATTCTAGTTTGTGTAAAAGGCGATGGTGTGGTACTTTGTCGAATGCTTTTGCAAAGTCAAGAAGGATAATGTCGAATTGGGATCCTATTTCCAGTTTATTTGCAATGTCGTTGATGGTTATGATTATTTGTGATTCGCATGATCGTTTTTTTTTTTTTGCGGTATCCATGCATGCTGTGCATTAGTTAGGATGTTATGTTTGTTAAAATGCAGAGGCGGATTTAGGGGGAGGCAGGGTGCCCGGGCCCCCCTTTTGTGGGAAAAATTTGGTTGATTATTTAGGGACCACTGAAGCATGACTGGAGCGGGTCCCTTCTTATGGCAGTCAGTGGGCCCCCCTTATGAAAATTTCTTGATCCGCCACTGAAATGGTCCATTATACTGCTTTAAACTATGTGTTCCAAAACCTTGTGATGGAGGTAAGTGACACATGTCTGTAGTTGGAAGCTAAATGTCTTTCGTCTTTCTTGAATAGGGGTACCACGTTAGCATCTTTCCAATCTTGTGGGACTTCACCGGTGTTGTGTGATGTTTGGTACAGATCTGTAAGAAAAGGAGCGAATTGGTCTGCCGCTGTTTCAGTATGAAGGATGGAATTGAGTCTGGACCAGTAGCTTTGTGTGGTTTTAGGTTATTTAGTAGTTTGTGTACTCCCTTGGTGCTGTTTTTGGATCCTGTAGCACTGATTTTCGTTGGTTCATGTCTGGGATTTTGTTTTTCGTAAATTGTTTTGTTATAAATTATGCCGTTAGTTTTCTCCATTGAATTGTTTCATATTTTTCATGTCGGGGGGCCTTTTATAGCCGGCTATACGGTATGGGGGTTTTCTCATTGTTGAAGGTCGTACGGTTGCTTATTATTGCCCACATCCTCTTCATTTGAACTTTGGTGGATAGTTGTCTCATTGGCAATCATACCACATCTTATTTTTATATATACCACATCTCCGTATTGTTATACTAATCCGGCTTTGTATTAAGTTTATTCCCTTTCATTTATGGTAACACAATCCTTTACTTATGAGTTTGAATGTCCCTCTGGTATCTTTCACCTCTCTTTTACGTTAAAATCATTTTCCAGTTTATTGATTTGATAACATTCTGTGCAATTAAAATCTTAAACCAAGCCACAAACACGGATTCGTTCGGAAACAATAAATTTATATAAGTCGTCTTCATAATCGTATCTTGAGAGATTTTCATTCGTATGAAAATCCAGAAGTGACAACCTCGCTGTCAATGCAATCAATGAACGTGAAGTACAAGTTCCAATGACACGTTTTAATCACTTTTATCTTCCATTTACAGTGCCGCAGGAATATTAATCCACTTAAAAAGGGGGGACAAACACTGCGCTTAATGTTCAAATAAATGTCATTTTGTTTCCGGCTTTACCTGTGAAGACTAATTATGCATTATCAATGTGAATTAAAAAGAGCAGGTGTTATCAAACATTTATCAATTAATCTCAAAGTTTACTTAACAATTAGATAGCTTATCAACACCGAATGTTTCGTTCTCTGCTTGAGTAAATAAATACCGCTGAGACAACTAACATGTGTTTGAAACTGTCCTATCTTGTCAGGGGCACGTCAAAGAAAACATACAATGGACGTTGATCTGTGAACCTCTCAAACAAGGATTAAAACTTATATCTTCTTAACGATTAAATATTTGAACAATAAAATATACTTAAATTATGTGTCAGTTGCAACTTGACTTATTTACATATGAATTTGACAAGCTGATTTTTCAATGTACAATATTATTTTTTCTTTATTTCAAGGATTTATATAGTACTTTATAAATCTTTGTTTATTTCAAATAAACAGTGATATGTAACCATATAATTACAGAAAAATCAAGGGTCAAGTACTTTTTATTTACAAATACACAAATCATATTTAAAAATTTTGTTGTAAAATTTAAAATGAACTACGTGAAAAAAGGATGTATTTCTCAATGATGCATCCACTGGATTGGAAATATCGATATCCACATTTGAGATGTGTGTTTTATATTGTCACAAAATAATAAATTTCAAAGATCGATTTACAGATATCTATTATTCATTTTTTTTTACAACAACTACAAATGGAACAAAGAAAAACAAACTTTATGCGCAATCAATACAAATCATTGTCGAATATAGCCAGAATGAACTGCAAAACCTGCAAGTACCTTTGTAACATGTGTCATTTATGGCGTGGTAACATCTGTATTTCCCAAGATGTGACCAGACAAGTAGTTGTTAAAAATAGACATGGACATTATCGTGAATACAACAGTCGTGCAATCAAGTTTTTTGAAAAAAAATAGACATGGACATTATCGTGAATACAACAGTCGTGCAATCAAGTTTTTTGGAAAAAAAATAGACATGGACATTATCGTGAATACAACAGTCGTGCATACAAGTTTTTCGAAAAAAAAGTTTGAATGTCGTGTACTTTTTCATAAAATAAAGTCATCGGAATCTTTTTTGTATAGTTTTCCTTGACCCCCCTAAGTCTCTTGTTAACAAAGAATTATATAACAACGTAATATATCTCTCGGTTTTTTAACCATTGTATAAATTTTGTGTTTTTTAACTACTTAACACCTACTCAAGATTAGAAAGTGAAACCTTCAAGTTGACGCAAAAGCTGAGTGTGAGAGGTCCGCATTGAATATTTAGGTACAGGTATATATAATATATTATATACACGGAACAGGGGCGGATCCAGCCATTTTTAAAAGGGGGTTCCCAACCCAGGATAAAGGGGGGTGGGGGTTCCATCTATATGTCCCCATTCAAATGCATCGATCGTCCAAAAAAAGGGGGGGTTTCAATCCCCGGAACCTCCCCTCTGGATCCGCCACTGCGGAAACACCTTTCTGTAGATAGCAGAAGAGTAACATAATTTTTCTCAGCACCAATGTGTAAGTAACCGTGACCCTCATCATAGTCCAGCTCTTCTTTTTTTTAAATACTCCCCCCCCCCCTTTCCAAAAAAAAAAAAAAGAAAAAGAACGTTTCCGTAGAGCTTTTCTCCGACACATTTTCTCTTCTTTTATGTTTGCCTTCCTCTAACAGTTAACCTGGGACTATTACACTAATATTCTAATAGTTCCTTTTAAAGGCTGTAATTTAAGACAAATCATCGTTTATAAATGTAAAATATCTCAAATAAAATTCTTATATCTTGATACACTTTTCTAAAATACAAATTATGTATACTGTAATTTCGTATTGGCATTGTGCAGGCACCGGGCACAGCCATAATATACAGTAGTTATAAATAATTATATAAATAAATCCTGCAGTATACACGGACACGTGTCAAGTTGCACCAGTATATATATATATATATATATGGGGTAATTTTATTACGTATTTTGATCCATTTATCACCCAAATACCACCCCTCAGTTCACGAGAGACGTGGGACCTGGGACAGTGACCTGGGACTACCCGGTGGGACCATCTAAACCAAATATAAATATATACAAGACCCAGACAACAGCAAACACTAACTTATGATTTAATGATACAGGTCTACGATTTACATATTTCAATATAAACGTTTATATGTATTATCAATGCTGAAATATTGGTTTAGAATAAAAAATATGAAAGATGGTTTACTGTATGATACCTATATGTGTAACAAAAACATGTTTAATAATAATATTGAATGCTGGTATTCATCCATATATTACATTTTTAAAAAGCTGAATATTCATAATTTGGAGGTAAAGCTCAACTTTTTTATCAAGTCAGTTAATCAAAACTTTGTAATAGTTTTGTAAAATTTTGGAACACAAAAAGAAGAGATACAAAGAGTTGTAAATTAAATACTTACTTCAAACTTAAAACTTGTTTTTCGAAAGAAATGTATCTATCTTTAAACAAATTTCAATTGAGAAGTGCCATATGTAAAATCAGAATCAGTGCACATGATCTCAAAATAGAAAGAGACAGGTATAAAACTTTATATATAGAAAGAGACCAAAGGCTTTGTAAGAAATGTACTCTAAATTTGGTTGAAGATGAACAACATTTTATTACTAGTTGTCCAGCATACAATAATGATAGGGAGATATTTTTCAAGGAGATAAACTGTATCTGTCCCAATTTTATATATCTTTCAAATGAGGCAAAATTTGTTTGGTTATTTACTAATGAAAATTTGTCTATACTTAAATATTTAGGGAGCTATATTATTACATGTCTAGATGTAAGACGAAATCATTAATTAACGTATGTAATAACAACTTGATAATTGTAATGATTTTATAGTTCTGATCCTGCCTGGAATTAAATGTATGTGATTTTTTATAGAATGAAGAAAATAACATCTGTCTGAACTTTTTAATGTTTCATTTTTATATATAAAAATGTTTTTCTGTTACAAATCATGGTGTATTGTTTTATGTGTTCATGTTATGCTGCCCATCAAGGGCCCGGCCTTGATTGGAATAATAAATATTCTTATTACTGAGGACATAATAATGAAGGTGTTATACTGGAATTCCCAGATAATAATACACTAAAAACCCAAAATAAAAATAAAAAGGGGGAGAGTAATCAGGAACATATATATTGAATCGAGTATCATGACACGATATTTTCATCCTTCAAATACGCATGTGTCAAAAACGACGTTTATTCCCGCACAAATTGACATTTGGAGCCTCGAACTGTCAGAGTATATCATCCAATGGCAATGAGCAACGCAGGTACTTGGCCAATCACAACGTTGTTAACTAATATTGTAATGAGACACGTGGTCCCGCGTTTGTCAAATATACTACCACGAGGTAGACAGGGAAGCGTTGTTGATAGTGTGTTTTCTAAAAATTCAGCAGAGAAATTGTATTATTTTGGAACTTTGAAAATGAATGACAGCTTGAAAATTAAAAGAAGTAAGTAATTTTAGAATAAGTGTGTGTCAGTGTATTGCATTTGTTAAAATTTAGGGTTAATTGTTGTTGACATTGGAACTTGTCATTTGCGAGCACGTGGTCGAACAAAAACAACAAAGGAAAACAACATATTCTGTGTTAGAAATTGAAAACAAGCAATTGTCTCAAAAATATTATTCACCAGACGGACGCATCAATCAAGTTATGATCAATTTGGAACGGTGCTGTTCTGACAGAACTCACTTTTCTTGGACAACGGATGAAAACAAAACACTTTTCCCGCGTTGTCAAAAATAACTGACTAGAAATCTACAACGTTTATATCATGTATTTATGCAGAACATTCTGGGCTAGAGTAGCTTGACCAGTGTGATTTACAATAACAATATTTCATCAGATATTTTAACCTTTAATTAAATTGAAATAGGTTGGGAAAGTTCCTTGTGTCAGTTATGAACTAAAACAGCTAATAAATCATTAAATGGGTACTCATTATGACATTAAACATAATATATCTCTATTTGGTGTCTACTGGGGCTAGTATAAAAGTCTCGGGTGTCTATGAACCCCGGAACATGGTGCTTACATTCATTTAAAGTGCAAAATGTTGCCCAAAAATGCCAATGTCCAAATAATTATGACATCTTGTAGGAATAGAACCACAGCTCTTGCGGTCCTTATGATTTTTTTCTACCTTTTTGTGGATTTTATATTGTCAAAAAAATATCACAAGTCAGGATCATGAAATACAAAACCTGACTATAAAAAAGTATAATACTAACAGTCTGACAGTGGCCGAAGAAGAGTACCCATTTATGACTAGTGCAATGTTTGTTTCATTTGCCTTGTCAGAGGTTGATTTACATTAAATGCCTATCATCTTAACACCAACTTCAGTTGCATATGGTAATTTCATCTATTAAAAAAGTGAATTTTCGCTCAAGATTTTGCTATTGGGCTAACAAGGTAAAACAATCTGATAACTTGATTCAGCCTCCAAATGCCTTAGTTCAGAATTTAGTTTAAGTCACCCATATTCCAGGTTGTGATGCTTAATCAGTATTTCATTAGGCCTTGGAAGCAGAATCAAGTCATCAGATTGTTTTCCCTTGTTATCCCATTCTAAAACTTGCAATTTTCACATACAATGTTTTCCAAAAATGTAGGCATCAGCATTTCAATGTGCATGGACTGCTAAAAGTAATGAAAACCAAGTAGTTCTGCCTAGAACTTAAGATTTTAAACTTGAAGTACAAAAACAATGTGAATATAAATCATAACAAATATTAACAAGTCTAAATTGAAAACAACGTTCAAACATTACAAATATATATATGTAAATAATAAACCTTGCTTGGCTTTAAATAGAAAATTATAGAAATTATGTGGAAAAGCAAAAATGTTTTATGTGACATATTTATTCATTCAAATTTGTTGTTTTTTTTATTACAGCCAAAGATCTGAAATTTTTAAGACCATGGGAAAATGATTATGATTCTGAGGAAAGAAGAAAATATTCCATTGGATTGCAAAATGACAACAGAAAAAGAAGAGGCAACTTGCCAAAAGAAGCAGTCCGTGTTTTAAAAGGCTGGTTATATGAACATAGATACAATGCATACCCCTCAGATCAAGAGAAAGTTTTCCTATCAAATGCAACCAATTTGACAGTTCTTCAAGTGTGTAACTGGTTCATAAATGCTCGACGTAGAATTCTACCAGAAATGATAAAGAAAGATGGTCAGGATCCTCTGCAGTATACTATAACTAGAAAACACAAACAGTCACTTTTAGACTGTGTAACATTCTCATCTGACCAAGAAAGCTCACCAGATCAGCGTCCTCGTGATTGTTTGAGTTCCCCGTCTAGATCTTCTGAAACAGATGGATATGTTTCTGACTTTGAAGCATCCTCTAGTGACTTTTTCTCTGAATCAGAATCCATGTCTGATCAGGGTGACAATACACCAGCAGCTAAATTGCCTAGAATGAGTTATTCACCTGTTAAAAACAATAAAGTGGAAGATAATTTTTGGCAATCGGGCCCAGTTGACTTAACAATGAATAAACCAAAAGCAAATAAATCAAATTCAGACTTTAATTCATTTTTCTTGTTAGTTGATGTTGCAATAAGTCAGATGGAGAAGAAAGAAGAATCATCAGGATCAGAATCATCAACAGTGTCTAATTCATCAGTATGACATTTCTGAAAAAAGGGGGGGGGGGTTTAAATGTGCTATAGAAAAATCAATATTAATACAATTTGTTAAAATATGTAAATCAGTTAAACTTTTTTTGTATTTACTAAAATGTGTTATAGAATGAGCTTCCTGTGTTTTGTTTCTAAGTGGGATATTTTTTTTTTATTCTCCTGCCACACTTTACCTGTTATATTAATTGATTACAAGGCCATCTGAAGACATTTAAACTTTATACAGGTAATATTTACCTATGCTGGATAAACATGTTTCCCGCTCTTTTGTATTTTAAGTGACATTTTAATTGTTATTATGATTCGCTTGTTACGATTGGATGCATTTAAAGTTCATGACCTGCAATACTTTAAAAAGACGCAGGTAGTGAATCATTGTTTCATTGATTTTACTATGCAATGTGTTACACAAGGATTTTACAAATTCTATTTAAAATAGGTGATATACTGTTGGACATGTATGTTTAAAGTCTTTTTTGTAATTTTACTATGTTGATTTGTATAATCAGTGAAAAAAATAAATATATATATATATATATCTTATCTTATCTTATATGACTATAACTGTTAATAATTTTTACAGGTCATTACAGGTACATTTGTATATGTAGTATTATGAAAGTACCGTCAGATTTGGAATTAAAAGAAACACACTTAGTCCCTATAACAAAAACCTTGATTTTATTTTAGTACCAACATTGTGTCATTAAATCTCATACTTGTGCAAATATTGTCACAAAATTGCTTTAAAGAAGAACTAGAACATTCAACAAAGAAGTGGTATATTCTAGGATACACTTTAATCACAATCTTGCTCTTCATTTTTTGAAAACAATTTTGAAACATTTATTAGAATAAATGATCAATCAATAACTTGCTATGTTAGAATTCCATGTACACATACAGAGTTCATGAAATCTATTTTTCCTTGGTGGTCCTTGAAGAAAATCTGCTGGTCCTCACTATTATTTCTATTGCAAAATACCACAATAGTGTCAGTCCTTTGTAAACTGGTCAAATCCTTCGGGCTACCACTTTTTCGATATATTTGCACCTACACTTCTAAAGAATGATATATCAGCTGCTCTCACCTTGCCAATTGGATTGATTGATTGTCTTTTTGTTAAAATTTCTAGAAGCAAATATATGTCGTATTTGGCAAGTATGTGGGGGGGGGGGGGGGGTTGGATGGCACTGGAGTTATTTTTGTATGGTAGGGGCAGGTCACGAACTTTGTGTGGTTATGTATGCAAAGTAAAATGCAATTGTATGGGTGATGGCCATAAAAAAAAAGTGCCTTCCAATCTCCAAAAACACTGTATAAAGCTTTATATTTCTGCAGATACCTTATGATAAGAAGTTTCAATCTGTCATATGTCCATTGTCGTTGACCTCTTTTTCATGGTTCAGCAACTGCTTGAAAAAGGTTAAAATTTTATTTGTCATGTGAATTACTCACTTGTGAGTAATATGATACTTTATTTGGTATATGGGTTCCTTGCAAGGTCTACAAGTCCCTCATACAGGGTTCACCTAACCTCAACCTCATTTCATGGATCAATATTGATTGTGTGATCAAGGATAAAGTCCAAATCTTAGATACTATAAGCAATAGGTCAACTACATTTGATGTGTTGAAAGATTGTAACTGTATGTACATATAAGACTGGCAGTTTTCATCTTACCTTGATCTCTTTTTCATGGTTCATTGGACAATGTTTAGTGTTTGTTGTTTTGGTCTATTGATCAGATACTATAAGCAAAAGGTCAACTATATTTGATGTATGGAATGATTGTCAGGTGTCCATGTCTGTCTGGCAGCCTTCTTATGACCTTGACCTCATTTTCATGTTCCATTGGTCAATGTTCAGTTTTGTGGTTGTGTTAATGCTCAGATACTATGAGCAAAAGGTCAACTATATTTGGTATATGGAATGATTATAAGGTGAACATGTCTGTCTGGCAAGGTTCATATGACCTTGACCTCATTTTCATGGATCATTAAGAATGCGATACTTGTCAAACTCATATTTATACAGATGTTCAACATACATATTTTTGCCTATTATCTAAAAAATTATAACATAGAGAGAAACTTTTAATAGCAAAATTACCAGCAAGACAAAATCTACAAATAAGTGCATGGTTAAATCATCAGTTAAATAATGATTTTAACCTGAGTTTTTATACGACCGCAAAAAAAATTTTGTGGTCGTATATTGGTATGACGTTGGCGTCGTCGTCGTCGTCGTCGTCGTCGTCGTCCGGCGTCGTCCGAAGACACATTGGTTTTCGCACTCTAACTTTAGTTTAAGTGAATGGATCTCTATGAAATTTTACCATAAGGTTCAATACCACAAAAGAAAGGTTGGGATTGATTTTGGGGGTTATGGTACTAACAGTAAAGGAATTAGGGGCCAAAAATAAGCATTTTTGTAACTTCCAGACATAACTTGTGTGTTAGTGTATGGATCTCTCTGACATTGTACCACAAGGTTCCATATCACTAAAGGAATGCTGGGATTGATTTTGGGGGTAATTGCCTCAATATTTTAGGAATTAGGGGCCAAAAAAGGGGCAAAAAACAAGCATTTTTCTAGTTTCATGACAATAACTTGTGTGTAAGTGTATGGATCTTTCTGAAATTGTACTACAAGGTTCTATATCACAAAGGGAAAGCTGGAATTGAGTTTGGGGGTAATTGCCGAAACGTTTAGGAATTGGGGGCCCAAAAAGGGCCAAAAATAAGCATTTTTCTATTTTCCGGACAATAACTTGTGTTCAAGTGTATGGATCTCTCTGAAATTGTACTGCAAGGTACCATACCACAAAGGGAAGGCTGGGATTGATGATGGGGGGTAATTGCCTCAATATTTTAGGAATTAGGGGCCAAAAAGGGGCAAAAAACAAGCATTTTTCTAGTTACAGGACAATAACTTGTGTGTAAGTGTATGGATCTTTCTGAAATTGTAGTACAAGGTTCCATATCACAAAGGGAAAGCTGGGTTTGAGTTTGGGGGTAATTGCCCTAAACGTTTAGGAATTTGGGGCCAAAAAGGGGCCAAAAAACACATTTTTCTAGTGTCCAGACAATAACTTGTGTTCAAGTGTATGGATCTCTCTGAAATTGTACTGCAAGGTACCATACCACAAAGGGAAGGCTGGGATTGAGTTTGGGGGTGATGAATCATAAGGGGGTTCAAAAAATTTGGGGGGGGGGGATTTTTTTTTTTTTTCCTTTTTTTTTTCTTTTAAAATTTTCCATTTTAAGTTGGTTATATCTGATTTATATTTAAAAGCAAATAATAATGATATGGTAGGAGATACACACCAAACAGGATGTGTAAATTATTATATAATAAGTATTGTGCAATAGCAAGAAATTTTCAATTACACAGTATTGCACAATAGCAAGAAATCTTCAATTGCACAGTATTGCGCAATAGCAAGAAATCTTCAATTGCACAGTATTGCGCAATAGCAAGAAATATCCAATAGCACAATATTGCGCAATAGCAAGAAATTGTCAATTGTACAGTATTGCGCAATAGCAAGAAATATTTAATTGCACAGTATTGTGCAAAAGAAGATACTTTGTATAAATTGCTTATTTCTTGACCAATTTCAATGGGGTTTTATTCTTGAATTCTTGGGGTTCTTTAATATGCTGAATCTAACCGTGTATTCAGTTTTTGGATTTTGGGCCCCGTTTTTAAATTGGTCCACATTGAGGTCCAAAGGGTCCATAATTAAACTTTGTTTGATTTCATCAAAAATTGAATTATTGGGGTTCTTTGATATGCCGAATCTAACCGTGCATTTAGATTCTTAATTTTTGGTTCCGTTTTCAAATTGGTCTACATTAAGGTCCAAAGGGTCCAAAATTAAACTTAGTTTGATTTTAACAAAAATTGAGTTCTTAGGGTTCTTTGATATGCTGAATCTAAACATGTATTTAGATTTTTGATTATGGGCCCAGTTTTCAAGTTGGTCCAAATCGGGGTCCAAAATTAAACTTTGTTTGATTTCAACAAAAATTGAATATATGGGGTTCTTTGATATGCTGAATCTAACCATGTATTTAGATTTTTGATTTTTGGGCCCCGTTATCAACTTTGTCCACATTGAGGTCAAAAGGGTCCAAAATTAAACTTTGTTTGATTTCATCAAAAATTGAATTCTTGGGGTTCTTTGATATGCTGAATCTAACCATGTATTTAGATTTTGCATATTGGACCATATTAGGTGAATGTCCAATTTAAAATTTTTAAGTTCTTAGACCACATTCATTCTGTGTTAGAAACCTATGCTGTGTCAAATATTTAATCACAATCCAAATGCAAAGCTGTATCAAGCTTGAATGTTGTGTCCATACTTGCCCCAACTGTTCAGGGTTCGACCTCTGCGGTCGTATCAAGCTGCGCCCTGCGTTTTATTGTCAATTGTTTTACAACTATAATAAATGGATTGACTTTTTATATAGCAAAAATGATCAGCAAGACGAGATCTACAATTAAGTCAATGAGGCCCAAATTACTAGTCAACTCCTAAGGCCAAAAAAAAATATATGTCTGTTTAAGGTTACATAATTTTAAAAAAATAGGGAAGGTATGTCAGTATTTCCATTTTATTCTATTTTTTCATTTTATTTTTTGTGACATGATTTTGAGTCATGCGGTTTCGTCTTGTCGTGGTCCGAGTTGATCATGGGCCGAGTTTATCCGTATTTTTAATGATTGGATTATTTCCCTTGGTAATTGGTTGGAAAAAATGGCGGCAAAGTGTTTAATTCCATTCGTCACAACTCGGCCGATTCAGTACCTTCATCTAACGGATTCACCCGAGGATTGCCGATTGTGTTTATTTCTTCACACGAGTCGCGAATTTCCTTAAAAACAGCTGTCATATTCACGATTGTGAACATTGGGATGTATCAGGCAATTGATTTATATTATTTGCAACACTAACTTCGCTATTGACACGAGTTCAGTTTTTTTTCACTTTACGACGGAAATAAAATAACTTAGGGTCGGCGCTCAAAAATAGGGTCGGTCGGGTAACCGTAAAGTAAACAGACATATATTTTTTTTGGGCCTTATAGGAGTTATTGCATTTAAAAAAAGGTTATAGATAAACTTTATCATTTTGTGTATTTTTATACGACCGCAAGAAATTTGAGTTCTAACATAAATTATTTCTGATATATATATATAAAGAAACGACAATTACTGATATGGCAGGAGATACACACCAAACAGGGTGTGTAAATTATTTAGTTTGTAAATCAATTTACTAAGTATTGCACAACAGCAAGAAATCTTCAATTGAAAACAAATACAAATCTTTTAACCAATTTCAATGAGGATTAATTTAAAGTCTTCAATTGATTGAGGTTTTTACCATGTATTACTATATTGGATATTTGGACATTTTTAAATAGGTCTACATTGAGGCTCAAAGGGTCCAAAATAGACTTTGTTTGATTTCATCAAAAACCGAATTCTTGTGGTTCTATGATATGCTGAATTTTGGGCCCTGT